AACTAGTCCGGCGTAGTCTTTTTTTTTCTTTCCCATTGGTTTTTCTCAAACTCACTAAAATACCGACTGATCTGCGCCCTTTTCCTTTCCATCTTCCCCCGCCCCCCTTTTCCCTTCCGAGTCGTCAACTGGGTGTTCTGATTCTGCCCACTACTATTGGATTTTTCCCCTGATTCCCTTTTGTTCCTTGTTGTCGTTGTGTCTTATTATTATCATTATTATTATTAATTGATTTTACCTTTTTCTTCTTCTTCCTCTTCTTCTTCTTATTTCCTTTTCTTGTCTCTTAATTTCTTTTTTGTCCCTACTGTGTTCTTGTTGCGGTTTCTGTTTGGCATTTCTTACAAGAGAAAATTCGCCTTTGTCATCGCAAACTTATCCATCATCCACACGCCCGCCGCCCCCCTTCTGGTCTCCCGGGTGGGTTTGTTTTATTTACCCTTCTAAAACCGATCGGAGGAGAGGTCCCCATCCTCGCCAACAACGACCGGAATCCACACCGATGCGTACCTATGGCCCTTCTTAATTTATCATAACTGCTAGTCTCTAAGCCCCGCTGGCCGCATGTGAATCAGAGGGTCCTGGCTGCTCTTGATCGATTATACGGTGTATCAGAAACCTTCTCTCAGGCCACCTCGCCTATTCTCTCGATCTTCTCCTGTGACCCCCCCCCCCTGAGTGAGCTCAAAGCATCATTATCCACCACAAGATTTTCTGGACGCTATTTTCGCCCATTCACGTCATTCACTTCATTTCCCGGCAGTCTCTTGACCAGAAGCCCCGCTACGATCGAAATTCGTGTGGATTGGACAGGCCCAGAATCTTCCCAAGCCCATAACCCCTCCCCTCCCTCCACCCGTCGCGGAATCCCGGTTCATGGGAACCGAGTAAAGCAGCCGAGAAGGGGTTGGGACTTTCGTGGACTTTGGAGCCGCTGGCTGCGCCCTCAATTTCTCTGAAAGTGGTTCCGGCGTCACTAGTGGTCGCCTTGGTTTCAGCCCAATGCCAATCAAGCTTCCTAAGGGCTTCGCCCGTCGAAAATCGTCTAGCAATGCTCTAGAGGAAGTGCAAAATCCTCCCCAGTCGTCATTCCGAGTCTTTGAACGACCGTCCGGAGACAAAAAGTCTTTGAGTGATGGTAATTTAGTGGCAAAGCGCTTAAGCGAAGGTCAACCTTTGGATTCCCCCTCGGAGGATGACAATAACATCTTTGCTTTGCATAATTCCCAGCCAACAAGACATCAGTATGAGACCCCTCTTTCGTCCGATGAGTTCTTACCCCTTTCCCTCTTCCCGGTAGGAAGTGGCTGAGCTGACCTGGAGTGGTGGTGGTAGTACATTCGAAGGTACATCATCTGCGCGACCTCGCACATCTGCACGCCGTTCAACAGACGGGCCACAGCCCGAATCGCAGTCGCCACACACTCGAAACCTCTACGATATACCAATTCCTCCCCTATCAGGTGCGATTCGCGCAGCTGGTCGCACGTTTTCATTCGGCGGGAGATTCTCCAAGACATCTGCGCCGGTACCTCCGCCTCAGCCATCTACACCGGGCCCTTCTAGAAGCAGGGGAATGACAACAAGCACGTCAAGCACTGCAACACCACCAAAGCTTCCCGATACAGAACTTCGAATTGGAAAAATTGACGACGACTTCCAAAATATGTTTGGTGATATTGGAAAGCGCTATTATGGGTCGAAGGACTCTTCTCTTGATCAGCCAGTAGACTTGGTAAGATGGGATTTCCTTTTCTGTATTCAGTATCTCGGTTTCAAGCCTTTCTTGTTGCATCTCCAATCCCATGAAGTAATGCAGCACAACGCTAAACTTCTACTGTAGGACTCACCCGGACCTTCCAGTCGACCAGATGCCTTGCCTCGAAAGGATGAGAGGGTCTCACGTCCTGCTCCAATTGATACTGACCGTTCAAGGGAGGTTGAGCCATCACCATACTCTTGGGATAGCCGACATTCGGAGGAGGGCCTGCTAACCACTCTTGATTCACCCAACGAACAACCGACAACACAATCATATCAACGCAATATCGATCCAGTCTCCGTTGGAGACCGGCGCAAATCTATGCCTCTGTCCGGTACTACGCCTTTGGCTACTACCTCCCATCGTTCTTTGGCAAAGCCTCGAACGACGGCGGACACGGGTTTGAGGAGAAGCGGGGTTTACTCGAACAGGCGGGACTCTGTACCTGTTGAAGACGAGGACGCGAAATTAATCATGGAATCTCTCTACTCTAAAAGGAGCTCGCAAATACCATTCATGGCTGACCACGCGGCTTCGGATGCGGAAAATGATGGGCCTTTATTCGACCAGCCTGGGGCAAAGTCTTCTCGTCCTGATCGCCGGGAATCTATTCAGAACTCATTGAGCTCCCCGGTGCTGTCAGATCACCTGGATCCGTCGATTGCAGCCCATGCCCGTTTGGCTGCACAGTACGAAAAAGCACAGCCAGTCTCGGTCTCTTCAACGAACAAAGTCATGACCCCATCTCAATTCGAACATTATCGTCAGCAGCAAGAGCTCAGACGGTCGAACAGCGACGCCTCGAAGAGTGAGAATTCCGCAGAGAGCGATTACGATGACGATGACGAGGTGGAGAAAGACCGTGAGGCCGAGAGACAGCGGCGCAAGCAAGAGGCCCATCTTTCAGTTTATCGCCAGCAGATGATGAAGGTGACCGGCCAGGAGTCTCCTGCACCAGCTATGAGAACCGAAATGGACCAGGCTAGTAAGAGTGCGCCGAATCTATTACAACCTGGAATTACCTCGGGGAGCGGGAAAAGCAGTGATGGTGATGATGACGAAGAGATTCCTTTGGGCATTCTGGCAGCTCATGGATTCCCCAACAGGAATCGCCCTCCAAGCCGTCTGGCACCATCTAGCTCCATTCCTAACCTTCGGGCGTCTTTCCAGCAACCGTACTTGCCTTCCCCGTCTCCTGCTTCGGTCGCAGAACGGGATCCAAACAATCGCGGGAGCCTGCCTGTTTTTGCGCGAAACTTGCCGCGAGACCCTTACTTTGGAGCCAGTTTGGTTAATCAATCCAACAGAGAGTCTCTGGCCTTTGGAGGAGGAGCATCGGTCCATGGTGGACCTTCGCCAGCGCTACCGCCCGGAGGCCTAGTAGGTGTCATTGCCACGGAGGAGCGAGCAAGGGCAATGCGGCGAGGTAGCCCTAATACCCAAGCCATGTACGACTATCAAGGAGGAATGCCTGTGCCACCTGTTCAACCTGGCGGCATCCCGAGGCCTTACACGATGATGAGTCTAAGCTCGCCGAATACCGGTGGCGGTCAGCCGGCGATTTCTGCGACTGAACAGGCGCAGATAGAATTGTCTCAGCAGATGACGCAAATGGTGCAGATGCAAATGCAGTGGATGCAGCAGATGATTCACATGCAAGGCGGACAGAACACCCAATTAATGCCACCTGGCGGGCCTCCACCCGCGCTAGGTGCCAACCTGAATGCGCGCCCATCTTCAATGCCCTCAGCTGGCAATATGAGTAACGCCCATGCTGGGTACTCGGGCGATCAGCGGACACTAAGCATGCTTGATCCGAATGTTTCCTCCCGTCTCAATAGTGCAGCTATGCCACATGTATCTGGGGCCCTCCGGCCAAGCACGCCGGCTGGGCAAGGGTATGCGCCGTCGATTGCACCATCGGAACGCAGTAACGTTGGTCTGGCGCCTCGTTACAGACCCGTCTCAACATTGCAACCCGAGTTAGGAAATATCGGCTCTTCGTCCATACCGAAGTCATGGAATGATGAAAACCGCAAGTCCTCGCTTTCAGCCGCAGTTCCGGCGGCGCCACAGGCGTCTCAGATGAGCCACCGTCCCATGCCAAGTGATAGCAAACCGATAAGGGCTAGCAAGCCGAGTATTGGTGCGGAGCAGGATGACGAGGACGATGATGAAGGCTGGGCCGAAATGATGAAGAAACGAGAAAATAAACGCAACAACTGGAAGATGAAGAAAGAAACGTCGAGCTTTGGAGATCTGTTGAATGCTGTGCATTAGACAGGCTGTCAATTGACATTGTTTGCCCTCGCAGCGGGGGTATCATGTCCTGTGCATGTTATGCTTTCGCTTATTTTTGCTTGGCTGTGATTTTGCCATCGAAGTCCCGTGCTCTTTATAGGGACCTGAAGGAGTTTTATCTCACTTTGTGCATTTGTGAGCAGTGAATATGTTTTGTTCTCCAGCTAATTCCTATTATTGTTGGCGCGTTCTCCTCTTGCGTGTCCTTTTACCTTCCCTTCCGTTCTTTTCTATATTGTTTTACCTTCTTGGACATGACCTGATCTTTCTCTACGTTTATACGAGGGGTCTTCTCTCCCTGATCTCCCAGTTTCTTAATCACTATTAAAGCAGGGTGCGGGATCATGACAGGCGTTTCTACGGATTGATGATTTCCAACCCAAATGAGGGTTGTAATTGGATTGCTTTAGCAAGTTGTGCATGCATTTTCTGTCTTGTATACTCAATGTGTAGCGGATTAACATCACAATTTATGGTTAAGGGAGTTGATATCTGAGGCTGGTATCTATATAATAACTGATCGGAGCCCCCCGCCTGCGGATGGGGAAGCCTTAGTTCAAATGCCATATAATGCGTAGTTTATCTCTATGATCTAGCGCAGCAGCTGGAGTCAAAAGTCGTGCAGCGCGAAAGTAGCTTAGTAACCAAACACACTCCACTTGGCCCACACGGACAGCGCTCCAGTCACGTGATGAACATCACGGGATTTCAACCTTATTGGAGCTTGCCATGACCAGCCATTCTGCAATCCCAGCATTGCAGCATCACTTTCTCAACAGTACGGCGGGAGTTTCCAGTCGTATTTATATATAATAACTCTATCAGGTGATTCAAATATTTTTTATACTAATCGCGTGTCGGTCAGACAACTAACTCAATTCAAAGGTCCAACTGAGCAAGGGAAAAAGTGGCAAAACCAACGTGAAAGGCCAGAAGTTGCACACCAAGTGGTATTCATATCTATTGGATACATTGTTTCATTCCCTGCTTCATCTATACAGCACTCTGCTCGTCCTTTTTGGTGGCCATCCACTTACAGGCCTAATAAAACCACGAGATATTCAATATCCCGTCCAGCTATTTCACTCTTTTGGTATACGCACCTTTGGATATAACCAAAACTACAAAATGAACGCACCAGACCGGTAGGTGGAACGTTCTTCTTACATATACTCAATCCATATTGTAGCATGTTCTATTTCACTTGGCTTTCCCCCCCTTTTTCTCTCGTGTTCTAGGTTCGGGAGCTGTTAGCTGGAGTGAATGGTGTGACAGTGAAGTCTCATTGTGGACGGAGCTATCAACAGGGGCACATGCTCTTGCCTTCCCGCTCCAATCACTGCCCCAGGGTGCTGGACTATGCTCTGGACTTTACTCGTGCTCCCCTCTTTTTACCCCAGTTCATATTCAATGTTTATGCCCCTTTGTCCAGATTCTTCATTGAATGGATCGATCTCGAGCTTTGCGTTGTCTTCACCCTTCAGCATTTCTGTCATATTTGAATCTTTCCCAGACACAACCCTTTTCAGGATGGAGTCCATCATGCCTGCAGAAATGGTGTATGCGCGCCTAAAGAATGGCAGTGGTGGATCTCGCGTCCGCTGCCAGTCCACCATCAATGTTTCTCATGACCAGCAGCCGAGGTCCGCTTCGGGTTTTCTTTGATGATTCTATTTTCCTTCAAATTTGAAGTGTCTGTTACATCCAGTCCACTGACGCAGTATGAAACCTAGATACGAGTCGTTCGTTCTTGCGAATGGCGAGAACAAAGTTGAGATGGAGATCGATACTCGTATGTCATCTTAACCTCGGACCTAAACGGCTTGCGTTCATTGCTAACATGGGCTTCTCATGCCAGGCATCCCTTCTTCTGCGATATTCACCTTCAACAAGGAAGATCACACATTGGGGAATTTGATCCGCTCTCGCCTCTTGCAAAGCTCCCATGTTCTCTTCGCTGCGTACAAGGTATGTCTGCGGTGGTGATATACACTCGCCTCTAGTTCCGGGCGCTCTTTATGCTCCTAGTTGTTGCTTTTCTTAGATCTATTGAGTTAGTATGCGTCAGGGCTGACGTGACTGTCACAGGTTCCCCATCCGCTTGTTCCCAATTTCCAGCTTCGAGTTCAGACCGATGGCGATGTCTCCCCCAAGGATGCGGTAATCGCAGCCTGCCATGAGCTCGTTCGGGACCTGGGTATTCTCTCCCGGGAATTTACCAAGGAATATGAGCTCCGTAAGATGGTAGGGGCTACCGCTCAGCAGCAGAATGGCGTCCAGGATGGTGTTTAGCCATCGACAGGTGGAGATAGAACATGAAGAGCTGGGTCAGCGGTCACTTACATGCTTTCGCTTCGGATATACGCAGCTGGTCATGCGTGCTTTGTTTCTTGGTCATACCCTTTATTCTATGTTTGTTCTCTTTGCTTCCAGTGATTAGTCGGACCAAGCCTTTCGCTCCAACCTGCCTCGGGACAAAATGTCAATTGCTGCCGTAGCCGTTAATCATTCAACTCATCCCCCTGTCTGTCTCGTTCCCATGTCTTGTAAGATTGGGACTGGTAGCAACATAAATCGAAGAGAACCGTATGGTATGCCCAGTGGGTAGCGTAGATAGTGTAGATAGCTTCTGGACTCATCGTGATAGCTACCCGATGGAGCTTAGTGCACCGCTCCGCGGATTCCCCCATCGGCGGGCGTCCCTGATTACGTAACTGGGGGCAGCGTCACTGCTCCTGATCGGATGGATGCTCCTGATCCCCCCCTCTCCGTCGTTGCCTGGCCACTTCCTATGCTTCTCCTCTTTCTCATTGTGCGCCATCAGCTTGGTTTTCTGCTTCCTCGGCATTGTTAATCGTTTCTTCGTTAGCCTGTCTTTGATGTTCGTCCTGTCTTTGATGCAACCCTTACTCCGGTAATGTACTCTTCATCCAACACCTTCCTGGGCGGCGCCAACAGCGCACGTCCGGGACAGCCTTTCATGCAGCAGTCTCCATACTCGCAACAATTTGCCCCTGGCCAACATCAACAACAACAACCGCCACAGCAGGGTGGATTTGCGCCTCAGCCGACTGGCTATGGCCCTCAAATGTCCAGTTTCGGGGCCTCTCAGCTGCAGCCTCAAGCCACGGGGTTCCCGGCTGGTCAGCTCCAACCTCAGTTTACAGGGTTTCCGGGCGCAGTACCACAATCGCAACCAACTGGCTTCCAGCCCCCGGTTCAGCAGCCCCAGATCACCGGTTATCCCGCACAGTCGCAGCCTCCGCAGTTCCAGGTTCCCGCAAGCACTGGCCTCCCTGTTCGTCAGGCGCCTCGGACTTCGTCGGAAATAGCGGATTCGTTCCAAGATGTTGCTGGCATGGCTCCGCCTCCGCCACCTAAGGCGTCTGCCAGTAAGATACCAAACATTCGGCTCTCCTTCATCACTGCGCAGGACCAGGCAAAATTCGAGCAGCTCTTCAAGTCTGCGGTTGGAGATAATCAGACAATGAGTGGTGATAAGGCAAAGGAGCTTCTTCTGCGGTCAAAGCTGAATGGGAGTGATTTGTCCAAAATCTGGTGTGTATCTGGTTACATCCCATAGATTGAAGTGAAGGCGTTAACCATTACAGGGTGCTCTCGGATTCTACCAAGTCTGGCCAGCTCTTCTTCCCCGAATTTGCCCTGGCTATGTACCTGTGCAACTTGAGAATCACGGGTAGAGAATTGCCTAGCGCCCTCCCTGAGAAGATCAGGAACGAAGTCTCGAGCATGGTGGACATCATCTCCTTCCAAGTCCCTGATACTCAGCCGGAACCTGCTGCTAGAACGAATGTACCAAATTTCGATGTACCTCTCTTAGAGAATAAATCTGCTCCCCCCGCCCCCCAGCAGCCACAGCCACAGCAGCCGAGTAATGCGCAGCTTCTGACGCAGCTCACAGCGCAGCCCACGGGTTTCCCTCAGCCGACGGGGTTCCAACAAAGTCAATCCCCTTTCCCGGGCCAAAACTCTGCCCTTGCCCCGCAAGCCACTGGGTTTCCTGGACAGTCCCAGCAATTACAGCCACAAGCCACTGGATTCATGACCAATCCTCAGCCGACTGGGTACAGCGGTCCTCGTCCTCCAATGCCTCCAATGCCTACTGGCTTCGGGTCAAATTTGAGTCCTGCTCAAACTGGAGGAGTATCGGCTCTGACCGCACAGCCTACAGGCATACCTGGGCAATGGGGCTTCGTGAATGCGCCGGCAACTGGCTTGCCTAACATAGAAGCTCTCAAGCAGCAGCTGATGCCGCAGCCAGGCCGCGAAGGTGGATTCACTACAGTCGGTCTTTCTGGAAACGCTCATATTCCCTGGGCCATCACCAAGGAAGAGAAGAAGATTTATGACGATCTGTTTCGAGCCTGGGATGGTTTCCGCAAAGGCTTTATTGGTGGTGATACTGCTATCGAAATTATGGGACAAAGTGGTCTAAACCGGTCTGATCTGGAACGCATTTGGACGCTGGCCGACCCAAACAACAGGGGACGCCTGAACATGGATGAGTTTGCCGTGGCAATGCATCTAATCTACCGGAAATTGAACGGATACCCAGTCCCGAATCGTCTGCCCCCGGAGCTTGTTCCCCCATCCACCAGGAACTTGAACGATTCGATAGGCACGATCAAGTCCCTGCTTTCTCAAGATGCAGAGAGCCGAAAGGCGTCTGGCGCGTTCTTGCAACCACAAAAGACTGGTGTGAGCTACCTGAAAGAGCACTCCTTTCGTGGTGGTGCGGTGTCTCCGGGTGTAGGTCGGAAAGATGCTACACTATTCAAGAATAACGACGAGGCGGCTGCTGGGTATCGCTCCAGCGCGCGTCGTCGAGTTGGCAACAATGGACGTACGCCATCCCCTGCTGCTTCCCAGGCTTCCGAGGAAGAGCTGTCCGTGGACCAGCTGAAGAAGAAGATTCGTGAAGCCCAGATCATGTTGGATGCGGTGGATTTCCAAGACGAAAATCAAGCGGAAGAGGATGATGCTCTAGATCGGCGAGACCGCAGGGAAGCGGAGAGTCTTATGGACCGGATACGACGGGTACAGGACGATATTGACACCCATCCTGATGCTTCCTTCCGTAATCTTGATACCGGGGCCGAACGGAGGTCGCTACGTCGTCAGCTGCAGGCGTATGAAGATCAAGTCCCGCAAGTGGCATCAGAAGTAAGGCGTGTTGAGCGGGAAATAGCGGAGGTTAGACTTGAATTATTCCGCCTGAAGGATGCAAAGGAACATCCTAACAGTGCATCCTCTATCGTGGGTACAGGCCCAGGGGGCACAGTCACTGAAGCCGATCGTATTAAAGCCCGTGCCCGTGCCAGAATGCAAGCCCGCGCCGCTGAACTTGCCGGAAGGCCCGTTCCCGCCAGCCAGGACGACGATGGAGCTGCAACTCGCCGACTCGAGGCCGAGAATGCTACTGTTAAAGCTGAAAGGGAGAGAAACGAGACCATGACTCGCGACGTCGAGGAAAGTGTTAGAGAGTTTGCGCGGAGTCTGGAAGACAGTCTTAAGGATGGTGGTGAAAGTTCGACGCGTGAGCATGAACGGCGACGCTGGGAGGACGCCTTGGGTGTTGAAGATGTGGTTCGCGACTTTATTTACGATTTGAAGCGTAGCAGCCGCACCGCGCATGTTCGCAAGGAAGAGTAAGTATCTTCACTCTCTCCCTGGAAGATACGAGTTTTATCATACAGGAGGGCATACACTAATCATTGGCCAGACAACAAAGAGCAGCAGATACGCAAAGCCAGCGGTCCCGCTACGATGAATCGCCACTGGGAGGCGCAGCTGCTTCGCAAAATTCCCCGACGCCTACCGGCTCAGTCGTATCAGCTGGCTCTACGCATGAGGACCGTGTTGCGGCTGCTAGGGAACGTGCGCAGAAGCGGATCGCTGAACGGATGGCTGCTGCAGGGCTCAAGCCCCACAGTGACGCAGGAGAGACTCTGCTTCAACGGCAGGAGCGCGAGAAAAAAGAACGTGAAGAGCGGTTGAGGCGAGCAGAAGAAGAAGATGCCAAGCGGGAGCAAGAGCGACAACGTCGTCTGGCCGAAGAGCAGGGTGGCCCTACGGCACAATCTGCTAAGCCGGCCGGCAAGAAGCCTCCTCCAGCACCGCCTTCTCGGAAGGGTCGGACTGACAGTGCAGGCCAAGCCGAAGCAAAGAAGGCAAGGGAGGAAGCAGCTAAGATAGAGCAATCTACACGGGAACAAGCTATTAGAGAGGAACAGCAGGCGCAGGAAGAAGAGACAGCCCGCCTAGAGTATGTAACCCTTGCCAGCCCTACTCCTGACTGTTGATGCCGTTACGCAAACTAACATCTCTTACCAGAACTGCCGCCAGAGAACGCGAAGCAGAATTCCTGAAGGAGAAGGAGGCCCAGGAGGCCCGTCTTGCCGCACTGCAAGAACAGGTCCGACAAGGGAAGATCAAGAAGCAGGAAGAGAAGCGTCGCAAGGAAGAGGCAGCCCGTGCGGCCAAAGAACAGGAAGCGAGACTCGCCACCCAGCGTGCTGAGCTTGAGATGGCCAAAGAACGCGAGCGTCAACTTCAATTGGAGCTGGAGGGCTTGGATGAGAGTTCCTCGGATGAGGAAGGCCCTATCAACATCACGCCGCAGGACAGTACTCCGACTCAGAGTCAAGTTCTTCCTGCCGCAGATACTGCAGTGCCGACCCCAGCTCCTGCGCCTTCGGTTCCAGCTCCAGAGTTAGAAGTCGTGACCAGTCCCGCTGAGTCTGCTAGTAGCCACGCTGCGCCCACCAGTCTTAGCCCAGAAGCTGAGTCCAAAAACCCTTACTTCAAGAGAATCAGCCCGTCCGACAGCCAGGTGCCGCCTCCACCACCTGCACCTCAGCCTGCCGCTCCAAAAGCCGAGTCTCAGTCGACCAACCCTTTCCATCGGCTGGCACAGCAGCAGGAGAGCTCCAAGCCTGCATTTACTGCGCCAGGTCCGCTGGAGCGCAAGTCTCGAGTGCGTCCCGAGGCGGATGATGACTGGTCGGCGGCTGGATCGGATTTTGACGACTCTTCTGATGATGACGATGAACGGCCGGGTGGTGGTAGCGCGAAACAACTCGCAAGCATCTTGTTCGGCACCATGGCTCCTCCCCGGCCTCTGAGTGCTATGGATGACAAGACTCCTTCAAAGTCGTCTACTCCCGTCCAGGATAGTCCAGCAACCCCCGCACCGCCGACTGAGGCAGCTGAACCCCCCGCTGCCCCCGCTGCTGTGCCTCCTCCCCCGCCGCCCCCGCCTGCCCCCGCCCCGGCTCCCTCCATGGCGCCTCCAGTGCCACCTCCAGGCGTTCCCCCGCCACCTGCGCCCCCGGCTGCTCCCATGGGCGGCTCTGGTAGAGGTGCCTTGCTAGCGTCGATCCAGGCGGGAACGGGGCTTCGAAAGGTCCAGACCAACGATCGCAGCATTAGCTCTTCCGCGGGGCGTGTTCTGGACTGAGCCTTTACGTCCCCACGCACACCCTGTTGGATA